CTCTTTCTATGTGTTGTTTCCTTGTCGTTTCAGAAAGCTAGCAAAATAAGAGCAAGGGGGCTTCCTGAAGAGGAGAGAGGGCACCGATTTTTTAATTATAGAGGGGAAAGCGAGAGACAAGGAAGGGAGAGATGATAGATAAAGAAGAGTGCTATCCGTCTCCTTGTTTCTTGTGTCTTCTCTTCTTTTCAGTTCATCATATTCCTCTTTTCGGCCTGTCTCTTCTGCTCTTTTCCTTACCCTTCTCCTTTTCAAGTTCTTCCAATTTAGTTTTTCTGTTTCGAAAAGAAAGAGGGAAGGGAGAGAGAAGGGCGAGAGGATAGATAAAGAAGAGTGCCATCTTCTTTGCGCCTTGTTTTGTCTCTCCATCTTCTTTGTTCATCTCTCTTCTATTCTTTTCTGGGCTCTTCCCATTAGAATTGTGTTCCTTTTATCTCTCCTCTCTCCTTCCTTTCCTTGTCTTCTCCTGTTCCCCTTTAAATGACAAAAACACAAGAAAGGAAGAAGAGGGGAATGGAGGCCCTTTTCCGGTATTCTCCTGTTGCAATGAATAAGGAAAAGAGCATAGGAGATAAGGAAGGGAATTGAAAAGAAAATGGGCGATCGGGTGTCCTTTTTGCTAGTTTTCTGCATCTTCAAGGAAGAAAAAAGGACACCCACCCAAGAAGGAAAAGTAACTTAAGAGATAGGGAGGAAATTGAAGAGCTCCTCTCTTTACCTAGTCATTCCCTGTCCTCTCTTCTTATCTGTTGTTTGTCTTATTCGCTTCAAAAAGCAAAATAAGGGAAAGGCGATTTCCTGAAGAGGAAGAAGGGCGCCTACCTGTGAATAGCAAGATTGATTTTTTCTAATTAGGGAGAGACCTGCCCCGCCTGAGCCTCCCTGGCCTGCTTGTTGTGGCCACATACAGTTGCGCTTCCAGCAAAATGGCATCCTTGTTATCTCGTCTCACTTCTCTTTCCCTTCTCTCCTTCTGTTTCCTTTTGACTGATAAACCACAAGAAAGGAACTTGTGTGATAAGGCAGTGGAAGGGTAAGCAGAGGGTGACTCCTGGCGCGTGGACCGGTCCATACTTCATCATACCCCTCCTCTCGGCCTATCTCTTCTGTTCCTTTCCTTACCCTGCTCCTTCTCATAGTTCTTCCTTTTTGTTTTCTTATTTCGAAAAGAAAGAGGGAAGGGAGAGAGAAGGGAGAGAGGATAGATAAAGAAGAGTGCCATCTTCTCTGCGCCTTGTTTTGTCTCTCCCACTTCTCTATTCATCTCTCTTCTATTCTTTTCTTTGCTCTTCCCATTAACAATGCAATCCTTTTGTCTCTCCTCTCTCCTTCTCTCTCCCTTCTCTTCTCCTGTTCCCCTTTAAATGACACAAGCGCAAGAAAGGAAGAACAAGAGGGGAATGGAGGCCATGTTCCTTTCTTTTCCAATGGATGGGGAAAGCGAGCGGGGTTGGCTCCTTGTCCGTAGACCCTCCCCATGCTGCAGCAAATCCCTCCTCTCGCCCTATCGCCTCTGTTCTTTTCCTTGTTCCCAAACATAAAAAACGGGTTCCTTTACATGTTCATCGTTCTTCCTTTTGTTTTTATTTGAAAGGGAAAGATAAGAAAGAGAGGAAAGAAGAAAACGAGCACCATCTTCTCTTTGCCTGATTTTGCACCTCCCTCTCCTGTCTTCATTTCTCTTCCATGATTTTCATTGCTCTTCCCATGAAAATTGCTTCCTTTTGATCTCTCCTCTCCCCTTTCTCTCTCCCTTCTCTTCTCTTGTTCTCTTTTGAATCTCAAAATCACACCAAAGGAAGCTTCTTTGAATTGAAAAGAAAATGGGCGATCGGGTGTCCTTTTTGCTAGTTTTCTGCATATTCAAGGAAGAAAAAAGGACACCCGCCCAAGAAGGACAAGTAACTTAAGAGATAGGGAGGAAATTGAAGAGCTCCTCTCTTTACCTAGTCATTCCCTGTCCTCTCTTATTATCTGTTGTTTGTCTTATTCGCTTCAAAAAGCAAAATAAGGGAAAGGCGATTTCCTGAAGAGGAAGAAGGGCGCCTACCTGTGAATAGCAAGATTGATTTTTTCTAATTAGTGAGAGACTTGCCCCGCCTGAGCCTCCCTGGCCTGCTTGTTGTGGCCACATACAGTTGCGCTTCCAGCAAAATGGCATCCTTGTTATCTCGTCTCACTTCTCTTTCCCTTCTCTCCTTCTGTTTCCTTTTGACTGATAAACCACAAGAAAGGAACTTGTGTGATAAGGCAGTGGAAGGGTAAGCAGAGGGTGACTCCTGGCGCGTGGACCGGTCCATACTTCATCATACCCCTCCTCTCGACCTATCTCTTCTGTTCCTTTCCTTACCCTTCTCCTTCTCATAGTCCTTCCTTTTTGTTTTCTTATTTCGAAAATAAAGAGGGAAGGGAGAGAGAAGGGAGAGAGGATAGATAAAGAAGAGTGCCATCTTCTCTGCGCCTTGTTTTGTCTCTCCCACTTCTCTATTCATCTCTCTTCTATTCTTTTCTTTGCTCTTCCCATTAACAATGCAATCCTTTTGTCTCTCCTCTCTCCTTCTCTTTCCCTTCTCTTCTCCTGTTCCCCTTTAAATGACAAAAGCGCAAGAAAGGAAGAACAAGAGGGGAATGGAGGCCATGCTCCTTTCTTTTCCAATGGATGGGGAAAGCGAGCGGGGTTGGCTCCTTGTCCGTAGACCCTCCCCATGCTGCAGCAAATCCCTCCTCTCGCCCTATCGCCTCTGTTCTTTTCCTTGTTCCCAAACGGAAAAAGAAAACGGGTTCCTTTACATGTTCATTGTTCTTCCTTTTGTTCTTATTTGAAAGGGAAAGATAAGAAAGAGAGGAAAGAAGAAAACGAGTCTTCTCTTTGCCTGATTTTGCACCTCCCTCTCCTGTCTTCATTTCTCTTCCATGATTTTCATTGCTCTTCCCATGAAAATTGCTTCCTTTTGATCTCTCCTCTCTCCTTTCTCTCTCCCTTCTCTTCTCTTGTTCTCTTTTAAATCTCAAAATCACACCAAAGGAAGCTTCTTTTCCTTATTGAATGAAAAAGAAAAAGAAGAAAAGAGATAGGTAAAGACACTGAAGAGCTCCACTGCCTATTGTTTCATTCCCTTTCCTCTCTTTCTATGTGTTGTTTCCCTTGTTGTTTCAGAAAGCTAGCAAAATAAGGGCAAGGGGGCTTCCTGAAGAGGAGAGGGCACCTATTTGTTTTAATTATAGAGGGAAAAGCGAGAGACAAGGAAGGGAGAGATGATAGATAAAGAAGAGTGCTATCCGTCTCCTTGTTTCTTGTGTCTTCTCTTCTTTTCAGTACCCCTCCAGAAAATTCAAATGGCCTCCTTGTTGTCTCTCCTCTCTCACTTCCCTTGCCCTTCTCTCCTTCTGTTACATTTTAACTAATAAAACACAAGAAAGGAACTTGTATGATAAAGCAGTGGAAGGGTAAGCAGAGGGTGACTCCTTGCGCGTGGACCTTGCCCATACTTCATCATATCCCTCTTTTCGGCCTGTCTCTTCTGCTCTTTTCATTACCCTTCTCCTTTTCAAGTTCTTCCTTTTTAGTTTTTCTGTTTCGAAAAGAAAGAGGGAAGGGAGAGAGAAGGGAGAGAGGATAGATAAAGAAGAGTGCCATCTTCTTTGCGCCTTGTTTTGTCTCTCCATCTTCTTTGTTCATCTCTCTTCTATTCTTTTCTTGGCTCTTCCCATTAAAATTGTGTTCCTTTTATCTCTCCTCTCTCCTTCTCTTTCCCTTCTCTTCTCCTGTTCCCCTTTAAATGACAAAAACACAAGAAAGGAAGAACAAGAGGGGAATGGAGGCCCTTTTCCTGTATTCTCCTGTTGCAATGAATAAGAAAAAAGGATAGGAGATAAGGAAGGGAATTGAGGAGCTCCTTTCGCTACTTTCTTATGCCCTTTCCTTTGTATCTACCACACAAAAACACGACTCTCAGCTTCCAAATAAACCCTATTTAAGCCACCCACCCCCCCCTCCCCCCCCCCCCCCCCTCCCACCCCCCCCCTCCCCCCCCCCTCCCCCTCCCCCCCCCCCCCCCCTCCCCCCCCCCCCCCAAATCATGTATGCCAAACATCATGGTCAAGATTCCCACTTACGAATGGACTGTTGTGAGGCCATAAGTTTAAAGTTGTAAGCGTTCACTAACCCCTAAACCTTATTAAATGACTGAAAACTACCCAACAACTCCGCCTCACAACAGTCCTTTCTGTAGGGTTTAGGGTTGGGGTTTGGGGTTTGGGGGCCTTAGTTCTCTAAATTACGATCCTGTACCTTAGAGAAAAAAGCGCAGGGGGCGGGGGGAGGGGGGGGGAGGGGGGGGGGGCGATTTCAACAGGGGGCCGTGGCTTGAAAGGCATCAGATGGCTGGTGCCCCGCGATCCTAGACCTCTGAACGCATTCGAGATCTTGCAGGCGACCTTAAACTACGTTCGCGAACACTAACATGGTAACTTTCCCTTGATTCAGGAGGGGGCTTTCTGGTGAAACTCCTTAGGGATCTGTAACCCCAAAATCGCTACGCTCTAGAACCGATATACCCCAAAACCCTACAAACCCTATAAACCCCATAAAACGCGACAAAAAAACCATAAACAAACCCAACAGAACCCACTAGATCGGGAAGTTCCCCCTTACACTAAGAGTCCTTAAAAGGGACTTCTAGTACCCCCCCTATGAGTATAAGGGGGGGAACATCCCAACCTCTAGAACCCTAAGCTCTCTTCGCTCCGTGACCATGGCGAGGCTGCGAGTTTGGCCCTGTACATCCATTCCGCTAGCCTCCGCCATTCAGGGGCTGTGTGGGATGATCCCATTAAGACTACGAGCTCTTGACAGGGAGATTGGAGATTTTGGCACCTCCTGCCTCATGAAAGGGCCTGTCTAGGATACCTGTTTCCCAACTTCCCGGCGACGAGCTCGTAAGTTAAGCTTCCCGTGAAACTCCCACACCACGGGTGATCCGGACAGGATCAAAGCCGCACTACTTCAGCCAAACTCCAACGCGATACTCGCTGCTGCAGCGAACCTCGTCTTCCTTGGAAGCGGCCGGATGCTTGAAGGCAGAGTGGAAGACAGTTCTGACCTGGCTGTACGGTGCTTCTACGCCACGGGCATAGTGGAACTGTCGGAACACCAGGACCTCGTCCGTGGTCATGTCAGGGTAGTAGTACCACTTCTGGTCCGGGTTGGGTTTGAGGAGCAAGCTCCGCTGGCCGCCGGGCACGAAGCCGTGGATCTCCGTCGGCACACAGTCCTCGATTTTAACCTTTGAGCTGAGCTGAGCCGCTGAGGACAGTTAATGTGTAAGTTACTCTGGAATGCGGACACATCGAAACGAGAGATCTGTCATGTATATATGTATATACGGTACTGTATATGTATATGTATATATATATATATGTATGCGTATACAAGTACAAACATATATATATATATATACATATACATATACATATACATATTTATTTTTCTGTTTATGATTATTTCTATTCCCCTTAGTTTGAAAAACTGAAATACGTTCCTTAACAGCAGCCCCGTAGCCGTGTTGGGATCGCACAGAGCCAGGGGCGTGCTCCTTACCGGGCCAGCCATGGGCGGGACAGGACGCCAGAAGTTGATCACCGAGAAGCCGGCTGTCTCTTCGTGGTACATCCTTGTCAGGAAGTCTTCAAAGCTGCCCTCCAAGCCTGTCCGGTAGGTTGTCTCCATGTCCTCTGGGTAGAGGCCATAGTCCTGGTGAACCCCAAAGCCATAGTGTGGATTTGGGCCTCCAGGTCCACGGCGCAAGGCAAAGTCTGGAAAACGGATCTGGGCTGTATTGGGCAACAGCTCGCGGATCAAAGGCTCCAGCTCCTTGGCATAGATGTCGATCACAGGTGAGCGCTCACCTGGTTTAAGCTTCCGAAATGAGTCCGATGAAGCTTGGTAGGTGTTGCCCAGCCAGTCTTCGGCCGACATCTTGCTCGCCTGCTTCAGGAGTACGAAGCCATACTTGTCGAAAAACTCACGCTTGCTCAGGCCCTCCTGCACCTCCTTCTTTCGGGCATCAGCCACTTCGACTGGCAAGTTTGCCTGTTGCTTGGCCATATTCTTGAAGGTCCTGCGGCAGTTGGAGGAGCAGGGAGGTAGGCAGAAGTACTTGAGGCACGACGCCAAACCTCCAGAGAAGCAACCGTAGTCGAAGAATGGAACCTCACCCTTCGCCAGCTGCACATCCGCCTTGATGAAGCCATGCATCCGAACTGTTTCGGCCATCGTGTTCGCTTCTGAGGGCCTTTTTGTGCCCAGACACCAAGGACCACGCCGAGGCTACGGGTCAGCGGCAGCTATGTAAGCGCTGAGGTGACAGAGTAAGCTGCGCCTTGAGAGGGCGCGGTGCAGGCAAGAAAACCGCTGTTCCTGCAGCGCCTCTGCCCTAGCCCTGCAGGCATGGGCTACTCGCAATCCTCAATCAAGAGACCTTGAAGTCGCCTGAAGCAGCCCCATGTTCAATAAAAGCTTAAGGTCTACCCGCAAAGGCCTCAAAACGCAAAGCCTAAACAACACACATCAAGAATCCCTGCATAGCTCAAGGTCGGCTCGCTCTTGTTTTTTCTCTCTCCATGCTAGAGAACCTTTCTTAAGGAAATCGACCTTCTGCGTGGGGTTTGGGGTTTTATGGGTTTCGGGCGTAGGGGTTCTGTGTGTGCCGTAAACTATCTTAGGATTCTTAATCTGATTTCTTGTCTATTCCTCAATTCAAGGGGTTGCTCTGGAGGGCTTGAATCCCAAAAAAGACTACCCCGAACCGCCCAAGTCGTAAAACCCTGAGGGCCCTGGCACCCTAAGACCTCCCTAAACCCTAGGCCCTAAACCCTACACCCTACACCCTAAACCCGAAACCCGAAACCCTAAACCCTAAACCCTAAACCCGAAACCCTAAACCCTAAAACCTAAACCCCATCGCCTCCTTGGCCTTGAGGATGTCCTTCCAAGTCACCGTGCCTTCCTGTTTGGTGTAGGGTTTAGGGTTTAGGGTTTAGGGTTTAGGGTTTAGGGTTTAGGGTTTAGGGTTTAGGGTTTAGGGTTTAGGGTTTCGGGTTGAAGGTTTAGGGTTGGGGTATCGGGCAAGTTCTCTAATTCTCTGTTGGGGCTCCTAGTTTAAGAGACGGCGCCTTGAGCTTAGGACACCCTAAAAGGAACCATGATTTAGAGCAATGTTCAATATGGGGGGCGCCTTACAACCGACAAGCGCTCACATTTCAGAATCTAGCCCCCGACGAGCAGGCTCGAATTCAACACAACCTTAAGAAAAGGAAATGTCTCAATGTTTGGGGTTCTTTACCTAAATTACAAGGTTGCTGTGGGTATAGACCTTGTAGGGCTGAAAGGACTTGCGGGAAATTGTCGTGCTTGTAAGAAAGTGGGGGAGGGGCGAGGGGCTTTCGGGTGTCCTCCACATCACTCAGCTCGCCGGAGGCCGCCATTTTCCTACACATCCGCACCGCAGAGTCCCCATGCAAGCTGCATTTAGGGTTTGGGGTTTAGGGTTTAGGGTCTAGGGGTTTCTTGGATTTAGGAACCTCTGCTTTGCAGACCCTCCCAGCCTCGCCAGCTGCAGGATCGAGTCACGCGTGACCCCTGACCTAATGCCACAAGCTCTCAACACACATCTCTCTCTCTCTCTCTCTCTCTCTCTCTCTCCTGCACTGAAAAAAGGTTGAGCTTGTGGAAAGAATAGCCTTATATAACCCTTTTCAACCTTATATAACCCTATATAACCCTATGTAACCCTACAATACCGTTTTTCAACCCTATATTAACCCAATAGGCCTATAGCTCTAGACCCCAGCCGCTGCATCTTGGGTGCCCAACAGGATAGTACCAAGCTCCGGGGTTTTCAGGACCCCATCCTGACAGGAAGCGGCTTGTGTCATCATAAGAAGAAGGTATCAGAATAAGAAGATAGTTAAGGTATGAGAATGAGAAAAGATTAAGAAGCAAGAGTTCAGAATTAGAACAAACATGAGAATACGGTGGCGCAGAATTGACTACCACACGCCCCACTACACCAACTTCAACACAAAGCAGGTTAGCCATGGCTGACCTTAGCAAAAGCTGCCCGCGGGCCTCCGTTACGCAGAAGAAGTTGCTCGCTGCAGCCTGTTGCGGGGGCTGCAACGGGTTTACTAGGAGATCCGAAGTACAGGACCTTAAATTTGGTCCCTTGTTATGCAACCCTTATATACATTATAGAAAAGAACGGCCCATACTTCGGATCCCTATAGACAAGGGTAAGGGACCACTCTAAGTCCCCATGGTTCCAAGCTTAGATTTATAGTGTTTAATTGGAGGTTCATGGTACTTACTCACCAATTATAACTGTACATATAGCCATATTGGGGCACTTAAGGGGCTTCTAAGTGAGTAATAGGTACAGCTATAGTTGCTTAGTAAGTACCCGCAAACCCTAAACCCTAAACCTTAAACCCCTAAGTACCAGGTTTTCGGGCCTTGGGTGGAAGTGGGGGTCCGATGGCTTGGTCACTGCTTGGGGGTCCTCTCTTGTTCTGGGTGCTGCAGGCTCCGTTGCTGCAACTGCAGGGTTTAGGGTTTAGGGTTTAGGGTTTAGGGTTTAGGGTTTAGGGTTTAGGGTTTAGGGTTTAGGGTTTAGGGTTTAGGGTTTAGGGTTTAGGGTTTCGGGTTTCGGGTTTCGGGTTTCGGGTTTAGGGTTTAGGGTTTAGGGTTAGGGTTCTGCCAGCTGGTGCCCAGCAAGCCACCTCTTCCACTCGCTCGCCGCTGGGATCGAAGTACAGGATGTCCGAGAAGCCTCTCCCAACAGGAAGGTCAGCAGGAGACGGCATGATAATACTAGAAATAGTAATGGTAATAATCATAATAGTAATAATAATAATAATAGGAAAAAGAATAATAATGATAATCATCGCACTAATGAGCAGCTTCTGAGGTGAGGCAGCAGCAAAGCCGCCAAGGACTTGCTACGTGCTGCCGCACCGGACTGAGGCGTGGCTCCTTTTCGGCACGCTGCCGCTACAGGATTCCCAGCCCTACAAGCAGTGTCCCGGACACCACAAAACACACAAAGGCATCGAAATGGTTTAGGTTTTAGGGTTTAGGAATCATGGTTCAGGGTTCAGGGTTCAGGGTTCAGGGTTCAGGGTTCAGGGTTCAGGGTTCAGGGTTCAGGGTTCAGGGTTTAGGGTTTAGGGTTTAGGGTTTAGGGTTTAGGGTTTAGGGTTTAGGGTAAATGAGGAGCAACTCTGAACACCGACGTGCGTCCGAGACGGCTTGGGAGCGGCGAATCCGTCCGCTGTCTTTGAGCAAACTGCAATGGAAAGTCCACCGCTGCACATACCGCTGAGTCCCCCCTTTCTTCCAGGAGTCCCTTTGTAGCACATTGTTTCATAGGTGCTTCTAACCCTAAACCCTAAACCCTAAACCCTAAACACCAAGCCCGAAACCCTAAACCCTGAACCAAAAAGTGGGCCCCAGTTAGGCCGCTTCACACAGAGGTCACGAGGATGTCCCGGCGCGTGTCGCGGTGAACTTGGTGACAGCATCCAGCGCCTGCATGGGATCCTGGGGGAGTCGCGATTTCTTGGGGCCCTAGGTTTAGGGTTTAGGGTTTAGGGTTTAAGGTTTAGGGTTTAGGGTTTAGGGTTTAGGGTTCAGGGTTCAGGGTTTGGGGTTTAGGGCCGGGATATAGCGAGGAGAGTGCCTTCAGATCCAGACCCTTGCAGAAAGCCTTGTGACAACGTGAAACTCCTTCAGCCGCGAAACCCTAAACCCCTCCCCTAAACCCTTCAACCCCCAAACCCTAAACCCTAAACCGGCTGGTAACCCTAAACCCTAAACCCCTAACCCCCTCAAACCCTGAACCCCTAAACCCGAAACCTGTGGCCCTGCCCTTCTCCCCGCTGTCCTTCGCCTCTTTGAGCTGAGCGAGCAAGACCTTCCGTGGCTCAGGGGTTCGGGGTTTGGGGTTTTGGGTTTCGGGTTTAGGGCTTCGGGTTGTTAGGGTTATGGCCCTAAACCCTAACCCTAAACCCTAAACCCTCAACCGGGTTTAGCAGTCAGGGTTTATCTTCACTTGAGAGTTGCCTGGCAACGGCCTACTTCGAAGGTTCGTGAGGGAGCACAACGCTAGTATTCCAAGCACCCTAAATAAGGTTACACTTGCTTACAAAACTAAACTAAACCCTACAGCCTAAACCCTACGGCCTAAACCCTACACCCTGCAGCTTTAACGGCCGCAATCAAGGCTCCACCCATAACTAGAGCTACCTGACAACCACCACGAACCTTAAAGTAGAAACCTAAACCCTGACCTAGGCACGGCACCCCCCCCCCCACCCCCCAAACCCTAAACCCTAAACCAAGCAAAAGGAAGACCCTCAACCCTTAACCCTAAACCACCAAAAAATAGCAAAACCCTAAACCCTAAACCAAAAAATAGCAAAACCCTAAACCCTAAACCAAAACATAACAAAACCCTAAACCCTAAACCCAGAAAATAGCAAAACCCCTCGGCTCCAATGTTGCTCATGCCCTCCTGCAAAACCCTGAACCCTGAACCAAAAACCACAACACCCTAAACCCTAAACCCTAAACCCTAAACCCAAAACCCTAAACCCTAAACTCCATCTTTGCTCCTACCCTCCTACGAAATTTGAGCTCGGGCCTGGCTGCTGGCCAGGCCGGTGCCCAGCAAAAGCGCCGAGTTACCTGAGGACATTCTAGGATTTAGGGTTTAGGGTTTAGTGTTTTGGGGTTTAGGGTTTAGGGTTTAGGGTTTAGGGTTTAGGGTCGGGGTGCTTTAGGGGTTCGGAGGGTTTTTTGAATTTGGGGCTTTATGCAGGGTTTCGGCCTTAGCAGGAAGCCCCGCACGCCCCCCCTTGAGGAGTTCATGTTGTCATCTTGAAACACGAAGCCTGGCTTATCCCGGAGGAACCACATGGTGGACACAAAACAAGTGAAGGACATGATGTGGTTCTTGTGGGCACCTGCACTAGAGCAACTAGAAAAGGAATCTTTTGTTTAACATTCAGACAACTCCCCACCACCACCGCGTGTCATATTCCTTGGAGCCTCAGGTCCTTCAAAAGATCGAGGGCCCTAAACTTTCCCAAGCCTCATCCCTGCCCTAAACCCTAAAGACCTAAACCCTAAACCCTAAACCCTAAAACCTAGAGCCTAAACCCTAAACCCTAAACCCCCGTAAGCTCGTCCTGGCGCCGCGGTACGCAGCATCATCAGCGCGCGGGTGGCGCTGTCGAAGGGATTGCCTGATCACAGGTTCAGGGTTTCGGGTTTAGGGTTTAGGATTTAGGGATCACCGGTTCCTCATTCCCGAGGTCGGAACTTGATTCCGAGCGAAGGAGCCCCAGACACACATCAAGGCATGCTCAATACGGTTTGGCGTTCAGACTTTCAGGGTTTAGGGTAATCCCATTGAACCCCTTAAACCCCTTAAACCCCTTAAACCCCTGAAACCCCTGAAACCCCTTAAACCCCATAAACTCCTTAACCCCTTAAACCCCTTAAACCCCGTAAACTCCTTGAATCCCTTAAACCCCAAAGCCCCGAAACCCTAAACCCTAAACCCCCTAAACCCTTAAAGCCCTAAACGCCCTAAACGCCCTAAACGCCCTAAACGCCCTAAACCCCCTAAACCCCCTAAACCCCCTAAACCCCCTAAACCCCCTAAACCCCCTAAACCCCCTAAACCCCCTAAACCCCCTAAACCCCCTAAACCCGCTGAACCCCTACACCCCCTAAACCCGCAAACCCCCCTAAACCCTCAACCCCTAAACCCTAAACTCTAAACCCCTTTAAAGCCTAAATTCCAAACCCCTTAAAACCCCTTAAAACCCCCTACACCTCGAAGCCTCGGAGCACCCCCGCCTGAGCTGCCCGATAAGAGGCTGTAGAGCTTTGCGACCGGGCCCTTCGATAGGATCCTGTCATGGCCAATGCAGGAGGACGGCTTTTAAAGGGTTTAGGGTTTAGGGTTCTGTGTTCTGGGTTCTGGGTTCTGGGTTCTGGGCTCTGGGCTCTGGGTTCTGGGTTCTGATCCATAAGCCCCTACAGCCTCCACAGCCCCTAAATCCCTTAAATCCCCAAACTCTAAGCTTGAACCTCCCAACTCGAAGTGCGAAAAGCCCTAAGACCCCAAATCCGAAACTGCTCCAAACCCCAAACGAAGCTCTTCGCCCTAAACCCTTTTCCCCAAACCCTAAACCCTAAACCCTAAACCCTAAACCCTAAACCCCAGACCCTAAGCCCTAAACCCGACATCCCCGGAGCCCTCTTAGAAGCTCCTGCTGCGAAGCTCTGGGAGTCCGTAATGCTCTGCCTGTGCAGGTTGGGATCCACAGGCGAGGTGTTAGGGGTTTAGGGTTTGCGGTTTAGGGTTCAGCGTTTGATTTTAGGGTTGAAGGCTTTGGATTTGAGTAACAGGCGGTTCAGTCAAGTACAGCTTCACATCACCTCTCCCGAAGATGACACTCGAAACGGCGAAAGGCATGTCCCAGATGCCCCTTGTGACCTGCCCCGTTGCACGTAGCTCAAATGTGTGTCAAAGGAGCATCACATTGGGGATTCACACTCTTGCCGAGATTTGCCTAGCCACAGACATGCTGCTTGCAGCACCAGTAACATACGTGAATCACACGGAATCGCACAGGTTTGCTGCTCTACAAATCGGTTGCTGCCCACATTCTATCAAACACCCTCAATAAACCGTTGCGGTCTGAATTCGGGAGGTTCAGCATTAGACTCTGTCTCTGCCCTGACCCTAAGCCCTAAACTTGGGATGTTCCCCCTCATACTAGCATTCTTTAGTAGAGATATAGTACCCCCTACGATCATCCCTACCAAGGACTGCTAGTATAAGGGACATCCCAACCCAAAACCCTTAATCCGAGAAAACCGGAGATGTCCAGATGGTCGCTCCTCCACGTAAAGATCTCGAAGGTCCTTTGCATCTTTCGGCAGGATCGGCGCGTGGCTCAGAGTGCCCTGCAAGAGAGACGGAGCCCAAGCTACCCACAGCTCATTGAGCACAAAAGGGGTTTAGGGTTGAGGGTTGAGGTTTGAGCGTTTAGGGTTTCGGGCGTTTCGGGTTTGGGGTTTAGGGTTTCGGGTTTGGGGTTGGGGTTTAGGGTTTAGGCTTTAGGGGTGCCCACGCAATGACATGGTGTCCTTCTTGTGGATGGGTTGAGGCTTGGGTCTTAGCATTTAAGGTTTAGGGCTTCGGCTTAGGACTCTCAATCGTAAATCCAAGCCCTAACCCTAAACCCGAAACCCTAAACCCAAACCCTAAACATCCCAAAGCCCAAGGAGGCCTTCAAGAACTTGCAGGGGTTCGAGAAGGATTCTCGGCCCTCAGCTTTCATCCTCAAGTGGTTGAGGATGACTGGGAAGTGCTTCGGGTCCTTGGACGCGCAAGTGAGCACGGGTTCAGGGCTGAGGGTCTTCTGAACCTTCGACTATGAAACCCTGATGCCCTTGAAACTTTGGGAAGCTTGCATCAGGCTCGTTGGGTCCCCATGTCTCCCGCATCCATGATGCCTAGTCCCCTCCTGTTGTCACTTCATACCCTTCCCTTTCACGTCTGCCCTGCACGGATCACATCGCCCGAGAGAACTCTGGCTGAAACTGGGGCGGGGCAGGGAATCAGGAAAGCTGACGCTGAGAAGGGTCGCCATTCGTTCCCCCTCTTCCAAAAGCGAAAGAGCGAGTGAGTGGCGGTGGATTCTTTGGAGAGTGGAGAGCACCAGGGGGCCGCACAACTGCCTGCCGATTTTTTCGAAGGCAACTGGTGATTGAAATCCTCAGGGCATGCCTCAATGTGCAATCGAGTCTCGCGATCGATGAAGATGGCGCCATCATTCGCAAGTTCCTCATGCTTCAGGATGGAAGACGCCCATCCCGACTGCCATACAGCTTTCAAGATCGCAGGTGCACAAGGTTAATATACTAGTATAAGAATGAAAAAGAAATAAGGATCACATTGAGCACAGCGATGTTGCAAATGAAGCACACGCCTGATCTAATCGGCCCCTACCCCGCGGCCACTATCCGGAGAAATCCTATTACTTGGAGGCCGAAACAAGGCAGAGCGGATGTTGCTCCCCAAATCCTATTCCTTTCAAAGAGCTCCAAGGCCCACCTCCCTTCTCCAACGAGTGTTGGTCCGAGAAGCTTCATTCGCCTCGGCGCGTGTCACGATGTCATCCAGAACTGCGCTGTGCGCCAGCGTCGAGCGCAAGGTCAAGAACTTCGTTCCTGAAAAGATTTGTGGTGAACGGCTAACAAGGCTTGAGGATCAGTTTCCTAGGTTTAGGTTTTAGGTTTAGGGATACGGAAGCCGAGTGAAGTACCTCAGAGGTGCTAGGGCGTCAGTGTGAAAACTTGCCCCATGCTTGCAGCTCTGCGTATCTTCGACAACATGCAACGCAGCAGCCTATTTCATTCGAACGGGTACTTCGCTTACTCTCGACTGTACTCATATAATGATGATAAGGGAACCATGTGGGAAACTAATTTCGGCCCTTGTCTGGCGTTGGGATTTGGGGGGGGGGGGGGGGGGGGGGCTGCGGGGATCACCATCTGGGCTGCCTGTCTGAGCCCTTAAGCGAAAAAAACCTCGCAATCCTTTCCGGCCTTCCGGTCTACTCCTTGCTGTAGACTGTAGAGCACAGAAGTTCTAAAGGCACGGCCCAACAACCCAATCGTGAAATAGTCTTCCCCATCGCAGGAACCCGGGGGTCCCAGGGTCGATTGCCTGCATATGTAAAGGGTTTAGGGTTCAGGTTTAGGGTGAAGAGTTTAAGTTTAGGGGTTAGGACTTTAGGGGTTAGGACTTTCAGGTTCTGGCTTAGGGTATTTAGGGCTTGTGGGTTGGGATCTGCCCTAAACCCTAAATGCTAAACCCTAAACCCTAAACCCTAGGGCTCCGAGCCTTGGGGCTCAGGCTCTGACAAACGCTGCGAGCCGAGCTTCCACTCAACGAGAGCTTCACGACGCGATCTCCCCGTCCGTACCGGTCCACCGTGGCCGCCGTTTGCGTCGGCATCTCAACGAGCTCCCCGGCCTCTTTAGGGTTTAGGGTTTAGGGTTTAGGGTTTAGGGTTTAGGGTTTAGGGTTTAGGGTTTAGGGTTTAGGGTTCAGGGCTCTTCCGAGAGTCGCTTTGAACCCTGGATAGTACTAAATAAACTACAAAAAGAAAAACTGACATTACAAGACTCTGAACAAAAAGTACAAACAATTCCTTTGGGCTCCCTGCCAGCAGTCGAAGCATGAGCCCAAGATTTCTGGCTTGGAAGGTCTCAAGGGTTTTGGGTCGGGGGCAAACTTGTGGCATAGTTTGCGGGAGTAATTCAACCCTAAACCCTAAACCCTAAACCCTAAACCCTAAACCCTAAACCCCTAAACCCCTAAACCCTAAACCTAAATTACACCCCGACACCCCACCCCGCAGTGGACTTCCTGGCCTCCACCGAAACGCCCCGCGAAGTGCGCAGCATGGGCCGAAGGGCCGCGGAGAGGCGGCGCATGGCGGAGGCCGATGAACTGGAGTTGCAGCTGCTACAGTAGCGGCGGTACCCCTCTACATATGCTTTGTTGTCTACGTTTTGCAAACATATTTGTATGCATACATACATACATACATACATACATACATACATACATACATACATACGTGTATACATATATATACATATATGCACTCTACGGGGCAGTAGTATAACAGGGACCGTAAAAAGGGACCTGAAATTAAAGAACTGCTCGTATCTTTGCAGTGGTGACTATGGCTTCGCTCCTCCTGCAACAGCGCGCAGCGATCAAACAATACTCAGCGCACACGGTGCGCAGCAGCTCCAGTTGCACGCTAGCAACCCGACAGGTGGACAGTAGTCGTGAGCCCCATGTCGCGAAGAAATCGCGAAGAAAGGACCAAGAAAAGACTGACACAGACCTGAGGTGTTAATGCCTAATCGGCCGAAAGACCACAAAACCTTCTGCCCACAAGCCAAAAACCTTACGCTGTAAACAACCGACAACCGACAACCCTCAAACCCCAAACCCTCAAACCCTCAAACCCTCAAACCCTCAAACCCTCAAACCCTCAAACCCTCAAACCCTCAAACCCTCAAACCCTCAAACCCTCAAACCCTCAAACCCTCAAACCCTCAAACCCTCAAACCCTGCCCTAAACCCTTCGACACTTCGACCCTTAGACCCTGAAACCCTTAGACCCAAAGACCCTTGAACCCTCAGACCCAAAGACCCAAAGACCCGTGAACCCTTAGACCCTTGGACCTTTGAACCCGTAGACCCTTATAGACCCTTAGACCCTTAAACCGGATGATGGTTACACCGTTGACGTCTTTGACGCCGTTGACGCAGTTGACGCCGTCATGCGCTTCACGCGCGTCACGCCCTTGGTCGAAAGTCACGTCTTCACGCGGGTCGCCCCAGAATTCACGCGCAGCGACGGCCATCAATGCCCTAAACCCTAAACCCCAAACCCTAAACCCGAAACCCGAAACCCTAAACCCGAAACCCCAAACCCGAAGCCCTACAACATGCCCAAGCTTGCTTGCCGCCACGGCCTGCTGCTTTCGCGTCCTTCTGCGGGGCGAAGCAGGGCCTCGGCGAAGCTTCAAAACTCCCCTTAGAACCTGGATCATTAGGGTTTAGGGAAAAGGGTTTAGGGTTTAGGGTTTGGGGTTTAGGGTTTGGGGTTTGGGGTTTGGGGTTTAGGGTTGAGGGCTTAGGGTTTTGAATATTCCCTGGGGTGTTATACTCTATATATATATATGAGAAAACTCAATGATTCCCCCAAGGGGGCTATAGGCTTAGTTTCAAGGTTGCAGGCACCTGCGCGCTCTTTTAGGGTTTTGGGGCTTTGGGGGTGTAGAGCTTAGTCCGGTGCCCTGGTGGCAGCTTGGAGGCGACGCCAGTTCTGACTTTTCAGGGTTTAGGGTTTAGGATTTAGGGCGCATTGGTCAGCTGAACGCCGTTGCATGCCGACATGCCCACCCCAAGGCCACCCCAAACACTACTCAAAAAGAAGCCATCCGGAGCCAGCCGAACCCAAAGCGATTTTGCCGCACACCGCTTCGGGCTATTTCGGGCTTGTACCTAAACCCTAAACCCTAAACCCTAAACCCTAAATCCTAAACCCTAAACCCTAGACCCTAAACCCTAAACCTACCTTTGACAGGCGGCGCCCGGGGCTCACAAGACCTGAGGCGGGCACGCGTAGTTTCCCGCTGCCTTCGAAGGCTGAGGGGACCCAGCTTTTGGGCGGCTCAGGCCGGGTCCTCTCCATACTTCTTTCTGCGTTCAAAGGTTCGGGTTGAGGTTTAGGGTTCCGATCGTAAGGTTTCGGGCTTAGGGCTGAGGGATATGGTATACTTCATCGTTCAGGCTACCCGACAAGCCTGTAGGTTCGATGGATCCCAAGGAAAGAAGGGGGGATTCAGCAGGCTACCATACCCTTTCCTAAACCCGAAAACCGAAACCCTAAACCCTACACCCTAAACCCTAAACCTTAAACCCTAAACCCTAAACCCCAAACCCCAAACCCTCATTATTGGCATTACCCACCGACCGGAGAATCCGGCCTTGACATCTCCCACGCCCAGCTCCGCCGCCCGGTGGTGGCCTGGCCATGTCCGACGGTGTTAGGGTTTAGGGCTTCGGGTTCAGGGTTTCGGGCTGAGGGTTTAGGGTCGAAGCTTTAGGGTTTAGGGTCTAGGGTTTAGGGTTTAGGGCTTAAGCTTCACGGTTTAAAGTGGCCCACTGGATCGATGATGGGAATGGCGGCTCAAACTCCTCCCCGCCTCCGGTGCTCGCAGCAAGCAGAATGTGCATCGCGACTTCGAAGTCGGTCCAAGAAAAGTTGCAAACCCCATCAAGCATCGTCTTTTCGCGACGTTTTCGACATGTATATTATACCTTTATAGTTGAGTTGATGAGTCTCATGAGAAGAGGTGAAAAAGTCTCAACCCCTCACAAACTGTCCGTGCTTAGTTGATTTGAACCGAAACCCTGCACCCTAAGCCCCAAGCCCTGAACCCTAAGAACCCTCAGCTCTCCCCCCCAGGGACCTGAGGTCCCTTTACAGTGGGTTAAAGCCCCCTGTAACCTGAACTCCCGCCCGCGTCCGCGCCTCGCTCGATGCGCAGGCGCGCTCCGCTGCCGGAGAAGTAGCTGGGCGGAGGAGAGGTCGTGCTTAGGGTTTGGGGTTTAGGGTTCAGGGTTCAGGGTTCAGGGGTTCAGGGGTTCAGGGGTTCAGGGGTTCACTCCAAACTCCGCATTCTACCTCCCAAACCCCAAACCCTTGGAGTTTGGGGTTCAGGGTACTGGGCTTGAGGGTTCAGGGCTTCGGTGCTGCAACCGGCACGGCATGGCATTGTAGGTTCCTTAAGGTAAGGTCTTGTTCAGACAGCTGTTACGACACGGAGCCTGATCTTCAGTGTACCCAAGAAGGACTTCAATTCAGAGAACTGCCCACATTTCATGACATGGAATGACAGTGCTGCATTTAGACACAGACATTCGTCACAAACCCTTCTAAGCCTAAACCCCTAAAGCTACAAAAGGGTGATCCTCATTCAGAGCAACCGCCTCTGCCCATCCAAACCCTACACCCCAAACCAAAACCCCATACCCCCCTAAATCCTACTGTAAACCCCAAACCCCTATAGTGCGGACAAGACAAAAGGAGCTGCCTCCCCACCGGGGCCACGTAGATGACGAAGGTAAACTCAGGGCTGGGGCCTCGGTTTAGGGTTTAGGGTTTTGGGTTTGCGTTTAGGGTTGGGTTTATAGGGTTTATAGAGCTTAGGAAGTATTAGGGCTTCGGCTCCAGTAGGTTGAGGTGGCTGCTTTCTAGAGATGTGCCCAGTTTATCCTCAGGTTTAAGCCTTAAACCCTAAATGCCACTCCAGGCTTATTGGAGGGTGGTCATAGACAGAGGTGTAGGGCTTGTAGCATTTGTAGGGTTTCTAGGGTTTAGAGTTTCGAATTTAGTGGACGTCGGGGTGACTTAGAGGAGAGCATCGCTTTTAACAATGCATGGGCAGTTCTTTTTTTACGGCCCCTTCGCGGGTACGCTACATATAAGGCTCTGCATGCAATTGCGAACCTCAAAAGGGTTTAGCGTTTCAACCTTAAAAATCTGCAAACCCTAAACCCTAAGCCCTACACCAATGTCTCTGCTCAAGCGGTTGGCTTCCTGGGCTCCTGATCACCGAGATCCTCGCCCACGCCGAGTGCGGGTCCGCCTGGGGCTTGTCGGAGGTTATCTTCCAAACCCTAAACCCTAAACCCTAAACCGTGAAACCCTGAAACCCTGAAACCCTGAACCCGAAGCCCCAAACCCTTGAGAGCCCTATAGGGCCTCCAGAACTGGCGAGAGCCCAGAGGGCTCTACTGTTCTAGGGTTTAGGGTTGTTTAGGGTTTAGGGTTTAGGGTTTAGGGTTTAGGGTTTACCGCAACGTGTCGCTAAGGTCAGGGCTGCCAAACAGGAGCGGCCGCATGTACAAAGAGCCTTTGCCTCCCGACGAGGTTCGGGTTTAGGGTTTAGGGTTTTAGGGTTTGGGGCTTGGGGTTTAGGGTCAGGGTTTAGGGTTTAGGGTTAGGGTTTAGGGTTAGGGTTTAGGGCTTAGGGTTTGGGGTTTAGGGTTTGGGGTTAGGGTTTAGGGTTTAGGGTTTAGGGTTTAGGGTTTAGGGTTTAGGGTTTAGGGTTTAGGGTTGAGGGTGTAGGGTTTAGGGTTTAGGGTTTAGGGTTTGGGGTTTGGGGTTTGGGGTTTAGGGTTTAGGGTTTAGGGTTTAGGGTTTAGGGTTTAGGGTTTAGGGTTTAGGGTTTATTACAGGGTTCAGGGTTTAGGTTTTAGGTTATAGGGTTTAGGGTTTCGGGTTTAGGGTTCTGGATGATGCTGTTCAACTGAGAGAATCGACGAGGCACGTGTGCAACCGGAATCAGCACCAGCACCAGCTCCAACGCCGCAAGGAGGACTCGACGACAACGACTAGACCACCTACTTATCACCCTACTTGTTACTACCCATTGGAACCTCCAGGTACACCCTAAACCCCAAACCCCCTCATTTAGGGCCCTCATAGCCCTGTTTAGGGTGTCCATGCCGGTACTAGCAGCACCCCGGGCACCAGCCTCCAAAACACTCCCAAGTCTGCAAGGAAGACTGCTGAGAGCAGGATTCCATACAAAAAGCTCTCAAGAAAGTGATGGCAATAGGTTTTGGGTTTTGGGTTTTGGGTTTTGGGTTTTGGGTTTTGGGTTTTGGGTTTAGGGTTTAGAACCAAATTCCCCTAAAACTCCAAACCCCAGACGATTCCACCTGACGGAGGCACCCAGTCGGCGTTCTCACCTGGCTCGTCGCACCCCCACTTACCCACACGGGTCTCCCCCTAAACCCCAAACCCTAAACCCTAAATTGCTAAACCCTTGCTAAATGCTGAACCCTAAACCCTAAACCCTAAACCCTAAACCCTGGATATTTGAACAATACCCCCTCGAAA